AAACGAAGAAAGTCATGAAGAAGAGGAACTTTCCGACTCAGCTGCATCCTTGGCCTCTCCACAAAAGGACGACAGCGGCAACGAGCCTCGTACCCGTCGTAGCAACCGGCAGCGCTATTCTCATTCCCGTGCCGAGTCTGAAGCCCGTGAAATTGAAGAGGAACTGGCAGAGTTGAAATCAACACGGCCTCGACGGAAGAAACCCGATATTGTGTACGAAGACAAACCACGACGAACTAGAAAGTCTGTCGACTACCGGCTCATCCGTCCAGAACTTCTACTCCCATTAGAAGAAAGTGAAGTCGAACCGACTGGATCTCCGTCACGCCGTGGTGGACGTGCTGGGGGAAGCACATGGCAGCGAACCCTGTTCTCTACTTATGGGCCCTTCGGCGGTGCTGGGCCAACACCTCTACTTGGAGGTCCTGCAGGCATGGGCGCCAATGGAGGTGTAGACAGTGATAGCTCAGATGACGAACTTGCTGCTCGTTCCAAGGGCCCCGGTGGCGCCCCTGGCGGAATGACCGCGGCCTCCCTTGCTCCCAGTCTCGGCCTAGGCATGACAGGCCAGCTGCACCCTGACCCAGCCCAAGGCGCCCCCGGAGTGCCTGCTAACTACGGGAAAATCAAAGACAAGCAAGCTCTGGCCGATGCAGATCCTCTGGGAGTCAACCCAAATGTCAATTTTGACAGCGTGGGTGGTTTACAGGGTCATATAGATCAGTTGAAGGAGATGGTTTCTCTACCCTTGCTTTATCCAGAGGTCTTCCAGAGTCTAAACATCATTCCACCTCGAGGAGTTTTGTTCCATGGACCCCCAGGAACCGGTAAAACGCTTCTGGCGCGTGCATTGGCTACTAGTGTCAGCACTGATGGGCGGAAGGTGACATTCTACATGAGAAAAGGAGCGGACGCCCTGAGCAAATGGGTTGGTGAAACCGAGAAGCAGCTCAGGTTGCTGTTCGAGGAGGCCAGAAGAACACAGCCGAGTATCATCTTTTTTGATGAAATTGATGGTAAGCCAGTGTACTTGATCCATACCGACGACTAGATGCATCCGTGCTAACATGATATTAACTTAGGTCTCGCCCCTGTCCGATCCAGCAAGCAAGAACAAATTCATTCCTCTATCGTGTCTACCCTCCTTGCTTTGATGGATGGCATGGATGGTCGAGGTCAAGTTATTGTTATTGGCGCCACTAATCGGCCCGACTCTGTCGATCCCGCTCTCCGCCGTCCAGGCAGATTTGATAGGGAATTCTACTTCCCGCTTCCTAATGTTGAAGCCCGTCGAGCTATTATTGACATCAACACTAGAGGCTGGGAGCCTGCACTTTCAGACGAATTCAAAGACAAGTTAGCTGCTTCAACCAAGGGATATGGTGGTGCCGATCTACGAGCATTATGCACAGAGGCGGCTCTGAATGCTGTACAACGGGTTTATCCTCAGATATACCAATCAAAGGACAAGCTATTGATTGATCCTAAAAAGATCAATGTGTCTTTCAAGGATTTCATGATCTCACTCAACAAAATTGTTCCCTCTTCTGAGAGATCTGCCTCATCTGGCGCATCTCCTCTTCACAGTACAGTTGAGCCACTGCTACGAGAACCCCTGCGTGAAATCCAAGAACGCATCTCCAAACTTGTCCCCAGGAGGAAAGCACTTACTGCCCTGGAAGAAGCACAGTTTGAGCAACCTAATGACGATATTGGATTCAAACGCGAGAAGTTACAAGAAGAGTTTGATCGATCGCGGGTATTCAGACCCAGACTGCTTATCCGCGGAGAGTACGGAATGGGGCAACAGTACATTACGTCTGCCCTACTGAACCACTTCGAGGGCATCCATGTCCAGTCCTTCGACCTTCCGACTCTATTGAGTGATTCGACCAGGTCACCGGAGGCAGTTGTGGTACAACTCTTCGCCGAAGTCAAGCGTAACAAACCCAGTGTTATTTGCATTCCGAACATCCGGTCCTGGTACGAAACACTTGGAAACGCTGTGATATCAACCTTTACGGGCTTGCTGCGTTCAATTCCCCCGACAGACCCTGTGCTATTACTTGGTATCCTGGAAGGGGAGGCTGAATATGAGGCAAACTCCGATATCGTACGCAGCCTATTTGGATTCTCTAAGAAAAACCAATATTTCCTTAGTTATCCGGAGCTGTCTCAACGCCGGGAATTCTTCCAGCCCATTATCGACTTCATACGCACATCACCAGCCGATTTTCCTGACCCAGATAACCGGAAAAAGCGAGTTATTGAGCAGCTTGAACTTGCTCCTCCAGCTCCTCCAAAGCCACCACCAGCCCCGACAAAAGAAGAACTAAAGGCACAAAAACGAAAAGACCGACAGACACTGAATCTCATGAAGATTAGAATACAGCCTATCATGGACCAGATCCGGAAATATAAGCGATTCAGAACGGGTGTTGTCGACGAGTCCCAAATACGATATCTTTATGACGATGATGATCCGAATGTTGTCACGTCTGACCTACCTCCAGAGCAACGGAGCACGTTTAGGCCTTATGAGAAGGACACAGACAAGGCCGGCGTCCCTGGTCTGCGGGAAGTTGCATCAGGCAAATTCTATTACAACTTAGATATCGTCACCATCGAGAAGCGTTTATCCAACGGATATTACAAGCGTCCAAAGGACTTTTTAGCCGACATCAAAAGATTGGCTAAGGATGCAAAGCAACTTGGCGACCCTGATAGACAGTTGAAAGCGAATGAACTATTGGCAAACGTTGAAGTTGACATCGGTGCGATTGACAATACTGATCCGGCACTAGTGGCCGAGTGTGAGGTGGTATACACACGAGAGCTAGAACGTGAGAAGGCTGCGCTGGAGAAGATAAAGCAGCCAGTAGTCGATGCCGATGGCACAATGAAGCCTCCAGCTGGCCCACCACCACAAATGAACATAGCACATGGAAGTATTGAACTGTCCAATGTATCATCGGCCGGCCCCGTGGTACTAGGCGAGTTATTCAACAGTCCGTGCCCGGCACCTGGTAGCAAATCTGGTCCTGGTTATCCATCTTTGACCAATGGACATACTCCAGGTTTCCATCCTCATGGTGGTGTCGACGGCGTTCGACCTCCAACCAGTAACGGACCTCTGCATAAGCCAGAAGGTGATGGTGATGTTCAGATGTCCAATTCGGATAACACCTCAGGCACACACCAGAACAATACTCAAAACAGCTCGTTTGGCCCATCTGCACAGCCGAGGCCACTGCACTCATACACTGCGCCTTCGCAGTTTATGAGACATCAGTCCGGTCTGTCTACATTGTCACAAAAGGGCAATATCACACCGATGGCCCCTGGATCACAACCCGGTGACTATGTTAACGATGCCTCCACAACCCAAACAACCTCTGACAAAAAGAATTCTGGTCCCACTGATCTCATGCATACCAATCCCCATGCTTCCTTGATAGGATCGGCCATGCATGATGCGCCAGATCTTACGCTATATCCCGATCGTGCTTCAGGCGATGAGCACCTCCCCGAGACTCAGCAAGGGGATAGCTCCTGGGTTTCCTCTCAAATGACACCTCTCCGTGGCGTTGCTGAATTCCTTCACTCACAGTCCACTACCAACGCGAATGGTAGCCAATCACAACCTCGTCATTCCCAAGCGTCTCAACCACATCCTGCTGGCCCTCCGCTGCTTTTCGATGCCACTTCTAGCCGTTCTTCAGGGGCTAACACACATGGAAATCCCGTTACCCCTCCCTCGCGCAACGGTGAACCCACCCGTATCTCGCACCTCATCAACAGTGAGCCAAAGCAGCCTGAGCCATCGCCGCCGAACTTAAAACTGAACTTAATGGTGGATGAAGACTTCAATAGAGAGCTTCATGATGAACTTAGCACCAAGACCGGAGGATTCTCAGTCGAGCAACTAGAACAGATCAACACTGAGCTCATGGACTGCCTATGGATCAACCGTAACGAGTGGAACAGGCGGGAAGTTGCCATAATATTGAGGGACACCTTTCTCGAAACACTTGATGATATAAAATCAAGCCAGAACTACGTCGACACAACTCAGAAACTGGGCCGCCAATGAACATGATAACGATATATACTCCAACGAAGGGGATAGTCCAGGCCATGATGCATCCCCCTTTGTATATTGATTCCTTTTTCCTTCATAGCCATGTAGCCTACGTGCGGCTGTAACTGCAGAAATATTTACAAGACCTAACCCCCGATTCTTCTCCTGTATTACTTCCACTTCCCATTCGGCTCCTGCTTCGTCTTTTCCCTTGATATGCAAATGTTTCTTGTTCATGAGATTATCTTCATTTTTCTACTGTACAGCGAGTTTGTCGGCGTTGGATTCCACCCTCACCTCCCATCTTTCTCACCCTTACCATTCCTTCTGTTTAATGTGTCATATACGTCAATTCTACTTTGTCCTTGAGGGAGGGAATCTGATTTGCTATAACTAGTTAGTGGTGGTATGTCTGTCCCTCGGGGATGAAATAATAAAACCCCATTGGGCACAGAAAGTATGTACACAATCCAAACCCCCTTTATTATATCTGTAGTCCAGTATTTCTCCTCTACCAAACTTGTATGTACCATTAGCCTGTTGAGGCTTTGTATAGTTAGTTTACTGGCTGGCTTTGGTGTGGAGGTTGAGTAATCGAAACATGTGACGCCGCAGCGGCCTTCTTTGGTCTAGGTGGCATCTCCAGCTTTCCCGCAGCAAAAAACCCATCCACAACTATTGCGGTTTGGAGAAGAGCGAAAACACCACGACACGCCGGCATTCGAGATCGATTACTTGCTTGCCAGGAGATATTTGGACTGCCTCTTGCTCTACACGCAGATTTGACCGCCGCGGCGGTGTGATCGCGCCCCCTTCACACCTTCGTCGGGCAGCGAGCTTTGCGCCGTGAGGACACACGACCCGAAAAAGAAGACCGTCTACTCTGCCGATACCTACTCCATATATAACATAATTCAAGATGTTGGACTTCCTCAAGATAGACTGGCTCAGTCTAACGATCCCGTTGGCCTATCTCGCCGTCCTTGTCGGCTCCCTCGCAACATTTTCCTCCCTCTACCGCAAACGCAAGATTCGTACGTTGAACCCCCAGAACCTCCCGGCAGTTTTCTACCTTCCTTGCGAAATATATACTAATAATTGACCTGATTTGCTTGCAGAAAAAGCCAGCTCCCTAAAGCCATGGTTTCCGGCACACCTCCAGCGCGATATATACTTCTCAATTCTCCACATGGAGAAGAAGGCACCTGAGACCATATTGAAGGCCGCACTACTACACCGCGCAGCAGAAGACATTAAGCGGCTTCTTGAACTTAGAACAAAGAAAGCCGCATTGGGATCATTGCTACAGAAGGGTAACGTGGGTGATGACCTATGGCAACAGTTTACGAGAGCAGAGAAAGAAATGGAGGAGGAATTCAGAGACGTGGCATCAGAGGTATGCATTAAACATATTTATTGTCCAAAACCAACCTAGCCAATACTAACAAACACACTTCAACACTCAGGCCAACGCCTATACCCCCGGCTGGGGCCAAGTTATTTTCCAGTCCGCAAATGAGATGTTCCTGAACGGTATGGCACGAGCCGATATAAATGCTCTCCAAGCCACCGTCACAGAGGAAAAGGAATGGTGGGATCGCAAACGGGCAAGCATACAAGAAGGCTTCATGAAAGAACTTGAACAAGAGAAGAGTGGGACAACAGAAAGCTCCAAAACCAAGGGTGGATCTACGGGTGATAATACGCAGCCTGGCAGTGATGAGGATACCGTCCTTGTGGATGTGGCTAGCTCTACCGGCTCCGCAGCTGGCTCTGTGAGCGGAGGGGGGAAGAAAAAAAAGAAGGGAAAGAAATAAGCGTTTTGGGTCTTTCGTTCTTCTCCCGTTTCTTTAGACTATATTCCCCCTATGCCTTCGTACTTTAACTACCCTTATGCCTTTGTTAATTCTGGTAGAAAAGATTTCTTTGGAAGTTACTCCTGTACATCATTACGAATTATAACTATTCTCGAACGAACAATAAACAATAGGAAACCCTTTAAGGTTTATTATATATTTAATTCGCAAAAAGGATCGATTAACGTACACATGTCAGTTTTCTGCTGGAGAGAAGATTAGCTTCAAAGGATATCATGGCCTCAACTAATATTACAAGCCTGTCCAAGCAGACTTTGCCAGATGGTCCGTCTTCTTCCTGCTTATTCTTGCCATTCCCATCATCTTCAGTTCTGCCAGGGACTGGTAGAATATTGAGAATGCCACACGCTCCTCACACCTATCCGCGTCCTCTCCGCCAACAATTGCATAAAATGCCCTCCATAGGTCATAAACGTTGACCACAGCACCGGATTCAAGGTAGAGCTGATAGAGAATAGATATTGGCGGCTGGCCTGCCGACAGGGCTTCTATCTCCCCATCTTCCTTCGAGTCCAGATAGTCAAACGGGTGAGACAGTGCTCGTTCAACTGTGTGCCGACATTTAGGAGTAAAGGTATTTCGAATGGGAGACTTGAAATCGAATATCAAGCACTCATGCAGGAAAAGATCCTTGGGATTAATCAGTTTCTCAGAAAGATGTTTCTGTATTGAATCACACAGTCGGTCCACCAATTCACTGTATTTCAATTCCTCATTTGAGAGCTTCGCTTTACCTTTCGTCAGCTTCACTCTTTGACCGACAACAGTTGTGTTATGCCTCGTTAACTGTGCGTCATGTTGAGAACGTAGTACGCCTTTAGATTTCTTTGTGTGCATCAATTCTCGGATTTCGTCAAGTATGGCAGCAGATTCAGCTGACAGGTTTGATATTAGCCCAAATGCAGCATCAAGCTCCTCTGAGTTTAATTTCCTAGCAGCTTCAAGCGTCTCAAGCAGAATTTTGGATTCAAGCAGCTCTCCGCCAAGCGCAAGAATGATGCACTCAGAATGGTTCGCTGATTTTTGAGACTTCATGTTGCGAGTGAACGCTACCAACCAGTCAACGCAGCTAAAGATATCTCTCATTTTTTGCCGGGAAACTGAAATTCCTAGGTAGGCTTGTTTGGCAAGGATAGTGTCGTCTTTCATCATCTCTTTTGCAGATTCGCTGTCCTTGATATCTAAAAGATGTTGCACATGCCTAAGAAAAGAGTAAGTGACATTGTCAAATTAATATCAACTTCGAGAGACTTCTTACTTCCGAAACGAAGGCGTATTCCGAATTGCTTCACATAATTCAGGTTGAAGCTTGTTCCCCTGTATTTCACCTGCAAGTAACACTGAAAGTGGATTTGCAAAAAAATGGGCCATATGGGCGTACTGTCATTCATGTTAGTAAGTTATAAGGAGCTTTTATGTGCTGCTACACGCACGTACCTTAATAATGTTGCCAAACCTTTCGGGGCTCTGAAAGCAATCCCCCGACTTGTCCATCAAAGTATGGCTCACACTGTGTCCGATCCACGGGCCTTCGTTATTGTGGGCAAACAGGGCCGTGAAGATACGATCCACTGAGTCCCCGAAATCTTGAAAATCAAAAAGGCGACCTTCTAGCAGCTTTACAGTGGAGCGAGGCAGTCTAGATTCGAGGTATGTGACTGATGTCGCTATTCCAAAGAGGAAGACAAAGGGTAAACGGTCCAACCATGATCTTTAGTCGGTCAGAATTATATTCATAGATGGACAGTCAGGGTACCTTACGCTAATAGCGTGATCAAGTCAGACAGGACACTGCTATCAAAGGCTTCACTGTCCCTAAAAGCAATGACAACCTTCTTCACGCCATTTCTCCTGACACAGGCCAGCATCAAGTCCAGGTCATATGGTAATAGTTTCAATCCCTATATATGATTTAGTCGATGGTATCATGGGGTAAGAGATAGGGAAGATATTACCGTTTTCGACGTTAAAGAGTCGCGATAGCTATCGATATCCTCCATACTTGTGATGGCAAGTTTGATGATCGTTTTCAAGGCATTCTTGATATTTGATGTGTCCCCGGAGTCTAGAGTGACTAAACATGCATTGCCTGAACTCTGTAGCTCCTTTCGTAGGCGCTCTAAAAGCCCACCCGTAGATGACATATTTGATCCCACCGATATCATTCCAGTGGGAATACGTCCATTGTAGCTACAGAGCAGTTAGCACTAATATCAAATGCAAACTGCTTGCATCAATGTGCTCATACGTTACTGTCGAGGATTCCTCGATGAAAGCTGCTATATTCTTTAGCACTTCTGAATCCACTTCGCGGAGGATCGACTATATGAACATGTTAGAATTGCGATGACCCATCACTTCCCGCCGGACAAACCTGAATTGTGTGCTCTCTCTGAGCCCAAAGGTCCCTGAATAAGCCATATCGTAATTTGACGGACTCCTTGGTTTCATATCCATTCAAGAGCGGCACAAACGGGGATATACGGCTCCCTGAGCTTTGGCTGCTCGAGGCATGATTGACCTTTCGTCTTTTATTCGAGGTTCCATTGGTATCATTGCTTTTCTTCGCAGGCTTATAAATATATGATCCCTATCTAACGGTCAGATATATGAGATCCGAATTAACATAAGGGGGACAAACCTGATACTCAAAGCCCGCAAGGCCGCCGGCAGCTTCATGGCCGGGTTGCATGGTTGAAATATCAAATCCAAGCCATCCAAAGAAGACTAATACCAGCCACCAGCTGTCTTTTCATTGAATGTATCCTAATAGTCGGTGTTGGTGAATCTCTTCCTTCTCCATGCCTTTTTGTCGCGTCTCAAGAACGGAAAATAAACAGGTCATGTGCCAAGACGCAATTGGCAGGACGAGCTCCATCGATTTTCAATTTGAAGATCTCGAGCTTTCACATTATTCAAACTTCGACCCGACTCGCGAGCTTTGACGCAGGATTTGAATGACAGCCTACACTATTCGCTTTCATCTCCAGTATCTCAATGAGCTGAATACCTTCCGCTGCATTCATGCGCCGGCTGACACTCCAGGGAACTCGGTGGCATCCGCATGCGCTCTCAACATGCCTCCCCCGTCGCGCTCCGTCGTCTCTCACCCTCCCTCGGCCTTTTTCCACTACACGAGTATCCTGCTTGCGCGATGGAAAGCCAAAGGTGTCCGTCCGTAACTTTGAAAAGTCGATTACCAACAGCAAGGAATATTTTGAGGTCGATCCAGATACACCGGATGTAGTAGAACATCGCAGGGCGAGGGAGAAACTAAAGAAGCTGGAAACCGAACTAGATGCCCTTAAGGAAGGCCCTTTCGCTCTAGATGGCGAGTTTATGAGGAGCTTGTCTGAGGAAGATAGGAAAAGGGCACTTCAAGCCATCACAAAATATGCTGCCGAGCACAATTGGGAAGAGGAAGATCGGAGAGACGAACAGCTCAAGAATCGCATGACGGCAGAGTTTGATCAAGCGATAAATAAAGAATTGGAGAGGCTAGAGGCGGAGGAGGAAGAGCTATGGGATCCTACCAAGGAACTGTCTGGCTCGGCCAAAACTACGGAGCCTGTCGAGCAGGAAAGGGAACCCTTTGAGGTTGAATTGAAGGTTCCGGAGAGCCATCATGCCTACGTCACGAGATTCAATAAGGCTTTGAAATCATTGAAAGGCACTCCAAGTGTTGCGGAGAAACAGTTTGCCTGGAAATCATATCGCCGGTGTAAAGAAGCTCTTCCATTCTTCCTTGATATCGCCCCAGAAGAGTCGATAGATATGCTCTGGAAATCACAACGTCCAAGCTTAAATACAAGCGAAAAGATACCCCCTCGTCACCTTATTACTCTCGCCGAGGATTTACTTAGCAGTGGACGAATTCTTGAGGCGGAACAATGGGTTGATTATATGGATGCTCTTCTCATAGACGGGCAGCAGGAAAAAGCCCTTGCGTTATGGAGAGAAAGGGAACCGGACTTGAATGAATACATGCTTTGTGAGAAAAAGGAGTATTGGAATATGGGAGTTCGCTTGTTTGTGGCCAATATGAACCCCAAAAACGCTCAAGATGCTGCATTAATATACATGTCCCTGGACCCGTCTCACAGTCCCCGGATTCTTATTCCAGTTATAAATTGCTGGGCTCAGAGTGAAGATCCTGAAAATGATGTCCGTGCCTGGACATTGTATCTACACTTCAAGACAAGTCTGGGAACAGATATTACAATGTCCGACTACGATGCAATTAGCGTTGGGTTCCTCAATTCTGGCAAAGTCAACATGGCTCTGGCTGTCTTTAAAGATATGATGCTCACAGGCCAGAACTCGTCCACTGAGTCGGATGCTCTTTACAAGGCATCATTAGGGCTTGTTGGAAAGCTTCATTCCGACAGTATCAACGAGTCTGATGTCAATAAAGTATCGCTTGCATCTTTAACAATTCTTCCCCGGAAATTTCAAAACAAGTTCTTCTACGCCAGCTGGATCAAGAAGCTCATTGGAATGAAAGAGCTTGGTGCAGCGGCTAAAGTTGTTGAGCTTATGTATGAGCGAGGGGTGAAACCTGACGCTAAACATCTCAATGGCCTGATAGGAGCATGGCTTCGTGAAGGAAGCGGTTCTAGTAGACAAAAAGCGGAGGAGCTTGGATGGGCTATGATCAGAAAACGAGTTGATCGTATTTGTGGTGATAAGTCAGAGACATTGTCCGTCGATGGGTCTTTACCAGGGGCAGCTATACCGGAATATGAACAACGCACTCTTCCTGAGGCTACCATCGAGACATTTTCCATTCTCTTGCTGCATTATACCCGGCGAGATAAGGGTGCGCTGATAAATCACCTAGTGGAGTGCCTTGATAAAGCCCAAATTCGACCAAACACGTTCTTCGCCAACCATCTTCTCTATAGAGAGTTAAGGAAGCAGAATATATTGGGCGTTTGGTC